GTCCTGCTGCTTGCGCTCAGACCTGGGCAGGGCCTGCCCTTTCCCCACGCGCCTCCGTGGTTGCCGGATGAGGCCTTGCAGCCATGTGGGCGGCAGCCGGGGAGCCGCAATTCCAGAGGAACGGAGCCGGCAGGCAGGCGGGCAGATGGAAGCAATTACGGTGGCTGGTGGGCAAGCCGGAAAGCGCGAGGTGGGGGCCGGCAGGGGCGGCGCGGAAGGAGGGAGGACGGAGTGAGAGCGGGCTGACAGGCCAAACCCCTGCACGCAGGGGGCGCGGGCTCCGGGGGGATGGGCAGCGCAAAATTTGGGATTCAGGGCGGCCGACCGTGAGCTGGGCTGGGAATCAGGAGACCTGGGTTTGTGCTCCACATCTGTCACTAAACCACTCTGACCTTGAGCAAATCCCTCCACATCTCGGAGCCTCGGTTTCTTCATCGAAAGATTAGATAAAATGAGCACAGAGGGTAGTGGTAGAGGACTGAGTTTAAAAGCACAGGTTGGGAAACAGGCCTGGATTCGAATCCCAGCTCAGCTACTTACCAGCTGTGTGACCTTGGTCAAGTCGTTTAATCTTTCTGCACCTCCATTTCCTCATTTATAAATGGGTTTAATAATAGAGCTGTGTGAGGCTTATATGAGAGGATATCAATAAGTGTATACCATACCCATGAGGTCAATTCCTACTCAGGCAACCCCATGTGTTACAAAGCAGAACTACTCCATAGGGTATTCTTGGTTGTAATCTTGACAGAAGTAGATTGCCAGACCCTTTCTTCCGCAGCACCACTGGGTGGGTTCAAACCACCAACTTTTAGGTTAGCAACTGAGAGCAAACTACTTGTACCCCCAGGGACCTTAGCACAGCTTTTTCTTTTTCTTTTTTTTTTAAGGCTTTTAGTAAGTGCTTGAAAAACGTTAAGTATTTTTGTAATGTGCTAAGTCCCTTTTTACTATGAGGACAGGTGTTCAGCAGTGCTGCAGTGGGCAGAGGAGATAAGGCAGGCCGTGGGCGCAAAGTCCCACAAGAGTCTGCGGCCCCTGGGACCTCTCCCCAAGTCAGAAACACAGTCAGTGAGGACAGTGACCCAGCCATCTCCAGGCTTCCACCCCAAACAAGAAAGCCAGATTCTAGAGCCTCCCATGGGTCTCAAGCAGCAAGAGGACTGTTCTACAACTACAGCTCTTCTGGGTGTCTGTGGTCAGGACTTCCTCATACTCAAGCCCCAGGTGGGAAACTGAGGATCTAGCCAGACCCTCACCTCGGCACAGGCCCTCCTCTCTGCGGGGCTAGGAGCAGAGCCCCAGGCTTCAGGTTCTAGGGCCAGCACATCGTCTTTCTGCAGGGCAGCTTTGGCGGGTGGAATGGGCACTGTAGGTCTCCTGCCCCAGGCAAGGGTCCAAGGCCAAAAGAAAACCTTCAGCTCAGGATGCTGGGGCTCATGCCTCTCCTTACCCTGAAGAGCCACCAAACCAATGCAACCCCTCTGAAGAGGCCAGCCCCCTGCTAGGCTCAGGACCACCAATCCAAAGCCCCAGGGACCTGGGCATCACATCCTGCTGCTCCACCTGGCCCCTTCTCTGTCTCTGGGATAGATTATCACTCCCCCCTGCACACACACACACAAATGTGGCTGGTGCCAGGGGTGATGCTGAGGCCCAGGGAAGCCCAGCAGCCCCTCCAGGGACCCTCAGGACACTTGCTTAAGACCACTGAGCACCTCAGGGAAAGTGTGACACCAGAGAGAAGTGGAACCAATAACTGCAGTCACCAAAACCCACCTGCTCTAGCATTTCCTCATAAAAGCTAAAAGGTCAGGTCAAAAGGCCTTGGGTCTTGAGAAGGAAGCAGGATTCTGGGGGGCAGGAGACTGAGCAGCAGCTGCAAAACCACCATCAATGTACTGCAGGGAAATACTAACCACAGGGCCCAGTGTGACTGAGGTGAGGAGCGTGGAAGCTCATGCAGACGCAGGGTGTCTGCCCACCCCCACTGCCCTGCTCTCCGGCACCCAGGGTCCATCTCAGAGGGGCCGCACCTCAGAGGTGCAAACTGTAGGCCTGACCTCAGACCCCACTTGGGGACACTGACCTGGAGGGCCCCTTTCTAGAGGCCAGAGCTCCCCATCCCCTGCGGCTCCTCAGCTGGCCTGTGCTCCCCCACTCCTAGGCCCAGGGTCTGGGACCTGGCAGGCAGGCAACCTGCTCTGTGCTAATCAGAGGTAGAGTGCCCCCTTCCCTGCAATGACGGTGCAAAACTTTGGGCCACGCTGAGTGGAGGAATTCAGAAGCCCGCTGGGGCAGCCTCTCGGAGGAGAGACCCAGACAATCTGTCCAGGAAGGGCCTGGGTTGGCGCCTGAGGCCGGGCTGGCGTGGGTTAACTACAGACTGACAACAGGCTGAGCTGGAGCCCAGGAAGGAGGTCCGGTCTCCCTGCTCCTGCCTGAGGAAGGGGGTTCCTGCCCAGAATGTGTTACAGTTTCAGAGAGAAGACGATTCTTGGTCCCACCCAGAGAATGGGATCATGGGCGTCTGACAGGGCTGGGCCAAGGCACGGTTTCTGAGGGGTGGGACGTGAGTCACTGCCTCAGAGCAGGGAAGGCTGTGAGGCACGGAAGAGAAGACACCCAAAGGTAGCGCTTCCTCAGCCTGGGCCCTCCACTCACAGCGAAGGGGGCCTCGCTGTCCTTGCACGGCAGCCCACTCCTGAGCTGAAAGATGCCTTCTCAGCCCCAAGTCCAAGCAACAACAAAAACCCAAACCAGCTGCCACCACGTTGATTGTGACTCATGGCGACCTTATGTATGTCAGAGTAGAACTGTGCTCCACAGGGTTTTCAATGCCTGATTTTTCAGACGTAGATCACCAGACCTTTCTTCTGAGGCACCTTTGGATGGATTCAAACTGCCAACCTTTTGGTTGGCAGCCGAACACTTAACTGTTTGTGCCACCCAAGGACTCCTTAATTTACTAACTTCTCCTTCCGCCTGCACCCCTCTCCCAGCACGTCCACTTGGAGTCTGCAGGGTTGGCCCCAACTCTTGACTCTCCTGTCTCTTCCCTCTATGTCCTCAATTTCTTCATGGAGCCCAGAGTCCACCAGATACCCATAATCGCCCACCTAGCACACCAATGCCGGGGGACGGGGCTCGGAGCGCACCCTGGGAGTGGAGACAGGAGCAGAGCAGGCTTCAGGTCAGCGGGCCCTGGGCTGCCTCAGCTTACGCAGGGGGTGTTCTCACACCAGAACCAGGTGCCATCAAGTTGACTCCGACTCACGGTGAACCCATGTGTGTCAGAGTAGAACTGTGCTCCACGGGGTTTTCAGTGGCTGATTTTTCTTCTGCGGCACCTCTATCCATTGCCATCGAGTCAATTCTGGCTCATAGCGACCCCGTAGGACAGAGCAGAACAGCCCTATAGAGTTTCCAACGCTGTGAATCTTTACGGAAGCAGAGTGCCACATCTTTCTCCCATGGAGCAGCTGGTGGGTTCAAACCGCCGACCTTTCAGTTTGCAGCCGAGTGCCTTAACCACTGTGCCACCAGGGCTCCTTCCAGGTGCCTCTGGGTGGACTCAACCCTCCAACCTTTCGGTTAGCAGCCGAGAGCATTAACCGTGTGCATCACCCAGGGGCTCCATTCCCAGACTAGCTCCCCGCAAAAAAAGTCCCGAAATTTCATCTTTAGGCCCCACACAGCTGGTGTCTCCAGGCACCCTCTTCAGAGTTACACGGCAGCTTTGAGAGTAAACAGAGTGAGGGAAATATTCACGATAGCAAACACTTATATAGCCCTTACTCTGTACGGGCACCCTTTTAAAAGCACTTAACACATAGCAACTCATTTAAAATCTCCCTGGCGGAGGTCAGTGCCAGAGCCTGGAAGAGGGCAGGTGGGAGGGTGCAGTCTGTCGGGACTGGTCCTGGGCAGCTCCGGAGACAGTAGTGTCCGTTTCTGCCTCTTGTGACAGCTCAGCGTTTGCCAGGCCCAGTTCCCAAGGTTCCACAAAGAATAAGTCTGCCTGAATTTGGCTTCCACACTATGCTTCACTCCAAGGGCGGAAAGCACAGGTTTCCCTGAGGTGCCTGCAGGGGTGACAGGCTGTGGGTGGCCATGAGGTCAGACAAGGCACAGCTGAGCACCCGAACACTGCCTACACTTCCAGCTTCTGACAGCAGCCCCCCAAAGCCAAGCCCTCAGTCTGTAGAACAGAGGAAGCAGCTGCCAGCGATCAGGCCTCAGACGGCCCAGGAAGTCTCCCCCGAGGACTGAGAACGGAGGGGCAGTGCTGGCAGACATGTTGGTAGCTCCAGCTGGCTGGGAGGTCCCCGCCAGCAGGGGCCCAGGGGAGGCAGCCAGGGCAGACAGCTGGTCCAGGGGTTCTGCCCACAGCTGTAGCCCACCTTCACCCAGGTACCATCCCTCCCTACTGCCCACCACCCAGGAAGCTCTGAGGCACAGGATTCCAAAGACCCCCAAAACGTGGCCCTGGTGTCCTTGGCACGGTCAGGCTCCAGCAGGAAACCCCCAGCTTTGGGCTCTGCTCAGCGACCTCGCGACCTGCACACAGAAGGACCCAGCCAAGCCTGTCACCTCCTCCAGCAAAGCCAGCCCACCTCTGCCTAGACTTGCTGGGGGCAGCTGTGGGAGAAACCACAGCTCAGAGGATGCTGGAGGTGAGGGCCGCCTCTCCAGCCCAGGCGCAGGGGTGGGGGTAGAAACTTTCCGGAGAAGAGAACCGTCCCGTTTGCTCACTCCCAGGGAGCGAAGAGACTCGGGCTTCCCGCTCAAACCTGGTCCAGGGAAAGGGACCCCGGAAGCCAGCGCCCCACGGTTGTGGCCACCCCAATCCCGACCCCGCGCTGCAACCACGTGCCAGGTCCCGGCCACCTCCCGGGCTGGCAGGAGCCACGGCGCCAGGCGGGGACCAGCCAGCCGGGCCCCCGAAGCAGCCCGCCCGCACCCCGCCGCTCCCCCGGAGACAGCCGCCGCGTACTCACCCTCGCGGGTGGAGCGGGGCGGGGCAGGACAGCTCCGCGCACGGCTCGGA